TTCACCTTGTTTAAGAGACGGAGCGGGCTCTACTTCTGGAGCTTCACCATATCGACATGGGGCATCGTCTTCAACGCCATCGGCTACACGCTCATGCACCTCGCAAACATTCCGCAAAAGAACATCTACGCCACATTCATCCTGGTAGGATGGTGTGCGATGATCACTGGACAGTCTGTTGTGCTTTACTCGCGATTGCACATCGTGATGCACAATAGGAAGAAACTGAAAGCTGTCCTGGTCATGATCATTACCAACGCCATATGGCTCCACATACCCATCATTGTCCTGGTCTACGGCAACAATTCCGACAACCCCACGCCATTCGTACAACCCTACCAGATCTACGAAAAGATCCAACTTAGCGTCTTCATCGCCCAGGAACTCGTCATCTCCGGCCTCTACGTATACGAAACTACCAAACTTCTCCGGATGGAACGTACAATCGGGAACTTCGGCACGAAAAGTCTACTCCAACACCTCATCTTCGTCAACTTGCTCGTCATTCTCCTTGACTTCAGTATCCTAGGCCTCGAATTCGCGGATATGTTCGAAATTCAGACTTCGTGGAAGCCGCTCGTATACAGCATCAAGCTCAAGCTCGAATTCAGCATTCTCAACCGCCTCGTCGCCCTGACTCGGAACGCTCGGAGTGGATGTGCCAGCTCGTATAGCAACGGCGGAAACCGGTCAGCGGCCGTAGCGCTAGGAACGGTTCGAGGAACGGGACATCAACGCTCCGCTTTAGCCACAAACACGGAGCACCAAGAACAATGGGAGGTACACGTTACCAGCGGAAAAGCAAACAACGACCAGCTCCCCTCGACCGTTATCAAAACAACAGAGTTCACGGTCCAGAGCCATAGTCGCAAGGACAGTGACGATAAGATCAGCTTCGCGGGGAGCAAGGAGGAAATACTGGCACACTCGGCGGCTCACAATACTCAAGGGAGTACGTCGTCGGCGTCGTCAGATCACATTCAATATAACGGACGATACGATAGCCAGCCTTGGCAATAACCCGAGACTGCGTGTCCTCTTGCGCATGCGGTTGCTACGAGTTTCTTTGATACCAATAGACTTTTTCTTTGTTTCCTTCAATGACACGAATGTATGAGAATGCCATGTATTTACATTTAATATTGCTAGATTTCACTAATGTTGAATCTTTCCACACATACTATCCAATCCTCTAACCTGAGCTCACAGTGCAATTGTCCGGCTTGAGGGACTAGACACATCTCCTTTACTAGGAACTATGTTTCGACCAGATTCTTCAGTCGCCCACTATGTAGGCTAGGCTACTCTTCTGCAGTGTCGAACTCGTCAGTATCAGAGTCCTCGACAGCAGAATCATGGCGCTCGTGTTCAGACGCAACCGAGTCTGTAACTATGGGGCGAGGCGATGCTAGCGCCAATTTCCCTGGCTCCGAGAACTTGACTGAGGCCACCGAGCGAATAGGACTAGCCTGATTATGATGCGCTTCGTCCCAGGCCGACTCGTTTGACGAAACTGAGGAAGCCTCAACAGTCGAGACATAGCTTTTCAGCAGAGGCTCAGTATCATCACTACACTCGCTGTCTTCGCACTCTGGAAATGAGTCGTATATTGGTGAGTGGTAAAGTGCTGACGAGAATCTCAGCGGTGGCGTCGCAAGACCAGGGCCGATGCGGTTTTCGGAGATTTGTGCGTTCCGACCGTCCAGCGACGGATCTAGAGGGTCGAATGTTATACCGAACGCGAGGGGCTCCGGGAAGGGCTCTCCGATATGACATGTTTCAGTGTCGGTGTGCCGTAGCTCTAGGAGTGATCGGTTATGCAGTGGGTCAGCTGAAAGCTCGATAATATGCTCTGTACAGGTGTCGACACCTGATAGTGAAGCCTCGACAGACCCAATGTCAGTGTGGTCTCCAGAGTCCAAGAGCCAAGTATTGATGGCTTTGAAAGGGTTCCAGAATCCCAACTTTCGGTGATCTCCTTGTATCTTCGCAGCTACCTCAATGCCGGATGCTACGGCTGTGATAGGATCCACCAGATCATCCGCGCTGACCTGTAGGAGCTCATCATCAAAGGGCTCTGGAACGTTGTAGATACCCTCCTCATCAATCAGATTAGCGTAGTCAACAGGACATGAGAACTTCTCCGCCCCGCGCTGTAACCAGTCAGCAAATTCGCGGACAGCAATGTCCGGTCTTCCACGATACTGACCGCAGTATTTGGCAAGCTCTGCAGTAGTGATACGCGACTTGCTCGGGAACTGGGCCTGGAAGGCTAAAGCGAAACGATGGATAGCTTCTGAGGTGTATCGTTTACAGACGTCGTGATCAAAGAGGCGCTTGAAGGTCATGATTGAGCTGGCTTTGCTTGCGTAGGAGATGTCGAACTTGCGCTCTACACGACCAGCGCGATACAGTGCTGGATCAAGCTTCTCTGGGTGGTTTGTCGTCATGATAATTATTCTCCCTTCAGTGGCATTGACACCATCAATGACATTAAGCAAGCCCGAAAGGGTTACTGATTTGGGTGTAGGATCCGTGATCTCAGAGGGCTTCGTTGTCTTCTTCGGATCGGTTGCGTTAGCGAAGTCTTCAGGCTCACCTAGGACTTCTAGAGTAGCCGCTTTTATAGCTTTGACTTGATCGAGCACCCTGTAGTTTGCGACACTTTGTTTTTCCATGAATTGTGCCAGCATGGTCTCCAGCGCATTCATTTCGGGCTTCTCTTCAGTGTCTCCAGAACCTAACGACTGAGAATTAGGTCCGAGTTGCGTATCTGAATTTTGTGCGCCTCGGTTACCGACATCGACGCCGACGCAATCGATATCCTCAAGGCCAATGCAGCTCCGGAAAGGAACTCGACTGAAAGCTTCCCTTAGATCATAGTCATCCATGCCTTGTAAGTTGATGATATACAGGGGCACATTCATGTGCGAGGCAATCCCAGCCAACAGCGACGATTTACCAGTACCTGGTGGGCCTGCGAAAAGGTAACCATGTCGGTAGGGTCGACCGCTGTTCTCATACCAAGCTTGGGAGTCTTTATGGAAGAACATCTCGATGTCCTGGGTAATATCCTGCATCATCTTTGGGTCAAGATCGATAGAGGACAGAGGACGCTTGTTGCGCTTAGACTTCTTGTCTCCATGCGCTCCCATTTCGACTACGGTCAATTCTGTGCTTTCCAAAACCTGCTTTTGAACATCCTCAAACAGCTCTGTGATAGGCTGTCGACTGTGTCCCCAACATCGAACGGTGATGGATCCCGAAGGATCGGGAAGGCTTGTGAAAAAGTCATTGGTGCGCAACCGTTCAAGCTCTGATTTTTCTGCAGTGCCAGAGCGCTGAATTTCGAGCATAAACTGCCTGCCTTTGTGCCAGAAGGATCCTGCTGTCTCTCCAGCGATAAGCGAAAGCTCGCCTGTAACCGCACGGAGTTGATGCTCTCCGCGAAAACGTCGAAGCTTCCGGCTTTCTTCTGCCTTTTCGCGCGCTAGAGTCAGCAAACCGCCACAAAGCACACTGTCATAACCACTAATGGTAATAGAACTAGTGACCTGTGGCTTTACCTGATTCAAAAGCGCGCTCAGTATGACTGGAAGCTGTACACGAGCAGCATTGAGAGCGGCACATGTCATGATCAAGATCTGGACATCTCGACCTCCAGTGCGCTCTTTGATGGCATTTCGGGCAATATCATAGAACTCCGAGTTCATGTAGTTCATGATCCAGGAATCTTGACCTCCGCTGAGTACACCAAATAACCAAGACTGGAAAGTCGTTGGAGGAGTGTTGATAGCTTGTTCTTTGGCCGCGTCGTCCTTTGATACTGAGACCGAAGTAGACTTATCATGCCGGATATCGTGAGGAGCAGCTCCAGGAATTCTGCATGATTTGCACATGGTTCAGCGAAGATACTTCCAAAGCACTCACCAGGAGGGCCAGTAAAGTCTGAAGTGGATGGCAGCTGCTGCCCGTCGAGAGCGAAGTAAGACCTTTGTAGTCTGGCCTGAATCTAGACATGTTTGCAAACAGCAACGCAGCTTTTGACAGTGCGCTGACATTGCCTACAGTGTCATCTTGAGACGTAATAGGTGTTAACACAACGATATGCTATGGCTTCGTGTCGCGAAGATACTGTGAAGAGGTGGCAACGTCGACAATGTTATGTTAGTTGTTTTTTGTTAGCACTGCCACAAGTACTTGAAATGGGGCCATGATACAGGTCGAACATCTGCGGGTGTCATGAACTCGATGTCGCGGTTTCTGCGCACCACGACAACCTAGGAAGAAGCTAAACAGGTCTGCAGCCTACATCAACATGAAAACATGCAAAGTAGGTAACCTAAGCTTGATGTACGCTCTAGATCTGTTTAGGTTTTTCTTGTATAAGGTGGCACCACATCTGAGCTCGTCATTGCTGTTCGGCATCAAGCTCGGCTATCTGTGAGGCCCGACAAGCACTTCGGGTGAGCGCAGTGCTGGATTGGACAGAGAGCTATTTAAGACGAAGTAAGGTCGTGCTTCTACACTTCATCATCGGAGAGAAGCTAGGTATCATAGGTCCGGAAGTGATGAGTCGCGCCGATGCGTCGTGTTCGAGCGAAGGCACCCGAGACACAGAAGAAACGATCTAGCGAACAGCAGCCCCCACCGGCTGAACCACAGCCGAACTATCACTCCTCAGACACCACGCGTCTCGAAATGAAATTCGCATGCCTCATAAGGCATATTTCGTCCACTATTGCATGAAAGCCAGTTCTCGCCCACTACCAAGCATCATGCAAAGGCCACTGGGCACTCGACACCTCCACCGGCTATCGCGGGTTACGAAGCCTCGCTGTAATTGCGCTTCCTTGATTTCCTGCTAACGACATATCCTGCTTCAGGCTGTCTTTCGCGCTTCTTTCCTTCTGTCGTTACTGCTGGTCAGCATGCATCGTTGTTGAGCAATGATTTCCTCCTCTTTTTTCTCGTTCCTTTCACTCTTTTCACTATGTCTAATGCACAATGCCGTCGGTGCGCAGATGCTGGGATCGTGGTCGCCAAATCATGGGGGATTTGAGAGACGACAGAACGGCGATAATAATCGTAATGGACAAAACAATGGACCCGACAACAGCGCGTTCACTATCGTGTATGGAAGAATATTTACACCTGGCTTAGGAATCATCCTTGCAGTAGGTGGAAGTGTCAAGACGCGCGATTCTCCTGCTGACAAGAACACAAGCCCCAGCCGTTTACGCCCATGGGCGGCGACTTCCTTCATATCGCGCTCGATGTCTCAGGCGATGGCAAACTCCAAGTGCCGCCACGCAATATCGCCGACCCGCTCACCCAGGTCTTTAACTTTACGCTCTTCCTTACATCTACGGTTACGCAGAAGAACTTCACTATATCGAACATAACGACGTCCACACCGCCACTCGCAGACATACTAGATCAAGAAAGTGGTCAAACAGTCAAGCACATCAACTTTGAATGGCCTGAGTGTTTGGTCGGAGACAACAACGAGGATGAGGGTTCTACTGCGAGGGGGGACTACAACATCAGCATACACCAGAACTATCGACTGAATGGCGTGGACCGATACACCATCTTCAACCTTCCCATCAGCGTTACGAATAGTATTCAGCGTTTCCCTGGTGCCTCGCAGCTTACTACGAAACCCGCTCCCGGTCCGCTCAGCGCAAATGGTGGACGAATGCCCTGCGCCATGATCGAAAACCCGTTGGTCGACTTCCAAACCCAGGTCAACAGCGTTAATAACCCACCGGGTACGCCTATGCAGGACATTGAGATTGAGACAAGCGGAAGGAGTGACGGCGGTCAAGTTGGAGGAAATGGGCCGGACGACGGATCGGGTGGGAGGGGAAGTGGGAATAACAATGGCAACGGCCAGGGTGGTACGGGTGGGCAAGGCGAGATCGCAGGTCCAGGCGGTAACGCTCAACTGGGAGCGGCTGTGCGGATGTCGGGGGAGCAATTCTCGATACTAATGATTGGCATGTTGGGAGCGGTCGTAGTGATGTGCACCTCAGTTAGTTTGTAGTCACTAGGTAGTGGTCCGCAGCCATAACGACATGATGATACCACGATTCAAATGTGCATGCTTTGTGCCCAGTCAGTAATGAAAGCTGTAATGATGCAGTCTCACAAACTGCAGTACGAGGCTCGCAACGTATGCGCTGGGCGGCAGGTTCACGCATTGGAGATTGTAACAACATCTGATGTCCATGACGAATTTGATTGATTCTAGATGTCCGACATTGTGGTGGAACCTATCCAGCTCCTCCGATATATGCCATGATGCCGTAACTCGTTGTCGATCGTATCGCGTTCCCCGGTGGCGACGCGCTTATTTGGCCTCGTCGAAGACGTAGGTGAGGTGGCACTTTCCGCAGTACTGGCGGTTGTGCATGGCGGCCATGAAGACACCGGCACCGCACTCGGCCTGGGGGCACTCGCGGCGGAGGCGCTCGATCTTGCCGTCACCGTCGACCTTGTAGTACTTGAGGACCGCTAGCTTGGTCTTCTTGCGCTTGTGCTTGATCTTCTTGGGAGTTGTGTACACCTTCTTCTTGCGCTTCTTGGCTCCACCACGGAGGCGGAGGACCAAGTGGAGGGTGGACTCCTTCTGGATGTTGTAGTCCGAAAGAGTGCGGCCATCCTCGAGCTGCTTTCCGGCGAAGATCAGACGCTGCTGGTCCGGGGGAATGCCCTCCTTGTCTGGGTGGAGTTAGACGCGAAACCAGTAGAGCGGTGTGTCGCTACATACCCTGGATCTTGGACTTGACATTGTCAATGGTATCAGAGCTCTCGACCTCGAGAGTGATGGTCTTGCCCGTGACTGGGAGATTGTTAGCCGCTGAGCTCTAAGTGGCGCTGCGCATGCGATCATGGCGATAATAGCGGCGCAGCGTGTGTGCGGGTGGTAACGTACGGGTCTTGACGAAGATCTGCATCTTGAACGCTGAGCCTCTCTTCGAGATGCTTTCCTCACGTAGATGCAAAGGTTGCGGGGAGAAGGCACCAGAGGAATTCGAAAAGTACCAAAATCAATGTGGGCGGGCCCGCGGGCTACCTGGCGCCCCGTGCGTTTCGCAGATGCGCTATCGCCGTCTCAGCCTAGCCTCGCTTCTGGTGCATGGGCGGCTCCGGGTAACCTTGGAACCATGCCGTTGCGGCGGCAACGCCAGATAGAGCTCAATGTTTACCCGACCCGGTAAGGCATTATACATCGTCATATCCTCCTCCGCATTTATCCTCCACTTTGCTACTCATCTCTCGCATCCACATCTCTTTGTTCGTTTCAACTATCGATTGCTGCTTTAGCGACTGCTACTGATCACATCTCTACCAACACACATATACACACGCACAGGCTCCGGCCACACACTTACTTGACGCAGGCTACTGGGAGACTGCATCTGTACTGAGGATTCCATAAGGATACTAACCGCCCGGCGGAGCGCCGCTTGCACTGCGTGAGGTAAGTCGTTATCTCTCAACTCGAGGCTTCCATCTCATCGTGGTCGGGCCATCACATGATATCAGTTGCTAACAACATACCAGTTTCGGACACCACAGGACTATCCCCCTCCTCCAGAACCGACTCCGGACTCCACCTGCATACGAAATGCTGTCCACAAATATGCCAGCCGGCATCCAGCGTCAACGGATTCAGCACCGCCGACAACCTTCGACACCAGCTGTTTTTGACGCACCCACAGTACGAGCACCACCTGCTAAACTACAACGACGCAACCGAAGCGGCATGAGCTTGGATCTACGCGGCCTCAACCTAGACCCCATCCATGCCGCCCGACAAGCCCAACACCAGGACTACACCCAACGACCAGGACCCTTCGACACACCCACCTTCCAGCAGGAGGACAGTACGGTAAGTAATACTAACAATCTAGGACAAATACCACAGCAATCTATGCAAGTAGCGCAGCCGCTAAGACAGCCCCAGCCGGGCCCCCAGGATTCCTTTTTGGCGTCCCCAGTACAGATCTCTCCCATCACACCGCGGACTCCACGACGGACACTCCGTGCGCAGTCTCCCCAGCAGCCTCCCTCATCCCCCTCTAAACCCCCCACCGCACAACAACTGAAAGAACTCCACGAGCACATACAATCAGTGTATGGCTCAAGTGGACAAGTCTTCATTAACATCCTCCCAACCCCCACTGCGACACCGCAAAAGCCAGCGCAGCTACCAAGCCATGAGTCGTTTGGCGCAACCCAGCACCCAAGCTTCACTGCTATGGGTGACATCAACCTCGAGCCAACCTCCAGAGCCATGACTTTCGACTTTGACAACCCAGATGCCGACATGGGTTACGAGTCGTCCTCTTACTACACATCCGATGCTTTGTCGCCGTCGCCAGTTTCTTCGCCGCAACAGCAGAAAGACATGCACTCTTTCCTAGAGAACATCGAAGAGCACCAAGAGATGATGTTTTCGCACACACCAGCTCTGTTGCCCACACCGCAAACTTCAATGTCGATCAACGGACTCCCCATGGACTCATTCTCCCAGCCTCAGATCTTCAATGACCTTGAGGTTGACGCGAGCTTCGAGTTCACTGGCATCGCACCTGAAGAAGTTGCGCGTTACATCAGCGAGCAAGATACCACAACTGGCAAGTGGACCTGCCTCTACCATGGTTGCGGCAAGGTCTTCGGACGACGAGAAAACATCCGATCGCACGTTCAAACCCATCTTGGCGATCGTCAATACAAGTGCAATGGATGCGGCAAGTGCTTTGTTCGCCAGCATGACCTGAAGCGCCACGCAAAGATCCACTCGGGCAACAAGCCCTACAAGTGCCCATGTGGCGCAGGGTTCGCACGACAAGATGCCCTCACGCGCCACCGCCAGCGTGGTATGTGTGTCGGTGGGTTCCCTGACGCAGTCCGCCGACAAGCCAAGCGTGGCCGACCGAAGAAGAATCGTCCAGACATGGAGCAGCGTGTCGAGAAGGCCAGCAGGTCGCGGGCACTAGCATCAGCAGCACCATCCTCAGCTGGCTCGCCGTACTCAGAAGCTCGATCGCCATCACCACTCGAGGGCTACGAACCAGCTCAATCGCAGGACATGCCCCAGCTTCTGTCCGACTCGCAAAGCTATGACTCCATGAACGCTTCAGCGGATCCCTTCAGGTTAGTTCCTCAACCACACTTTGTCCAATACAATACTCATACATGTAATAGCTTTGAGGCCTCATCAAGCCCATTCGCAGACGACGCACAATCGAGCTTTGCGTCTGCCAACTACTCAAGCGACGCTGCGTCAATGAACATCCTCCAACAGCTCTCTCAACACTCGCATACGCCTCCTATGTCACCCGCCGACATGCGGCCCGCTTCCGCCGGGTCCGCAAACGGTTCGAGCGCGCCAGTCCAGTCCAGCCCGCTAAAGGCTTCGTCGTCACCATCACGGTCGTCTGTCCAGTCTCATCAATTCACAACACCACCGACATCTCCAATCGAGCCCAAAGACGCTCTCGATGAGTTGTTCGACACCATGCCTGACACCTCATACTCTCAGTTCGACCTTGAGATGAAGGCCATGGGCGACTTCACTTCATTGGACTCCTCATCGTACGACCTTTTGGACTTCACCGTATAAATATTCTTACTCGACGCGACGACGCCACTGCGAGGCTGTATGATAACTGTTATGGATTACGACGTATAATGACTCGGCGTTTGCGAAATCTCTGGAAGATGGTTCAGCGCTTTGCTTTCAATTCTTATATCTGGGCGGGCTCTCCAAGATCTTGACAGGATCTGTGATCATTCTTAGGAAAGGATCATGTTTCGCTTCTGGTTTTTGTTACTATAGGGGCCGCACGACGTGGGGATCACGCTCCTTTGGCAGGCAGAATTGTTATTTCAAAACGGCGTATATGGTTTGGCTATCTCGACGATTGAACGTCAGAACTAGTGCAGTATTTCTGCTAGCGATGCATCGATATGAACGATGAGCGTTTATGTAGCAATGCGACAATGTTGGACGTCTTGTCAATCGACAAATATGACTTCATCTTGAAACAGCAGTATCCAGACAGAACCGGTACGTGTGATTCCCTGGTCAATCAACGAGCTGACAAAAAGCAAATCATGTATCTGATCTATCGAATTGGGGGTGGTCGTCACAGGAACGCAGAAGCGCTAAGTCGTCACGGCAATTAGTTGACGTCACGACATCTGATCGCGCGCACCCGTGTTCGCGACGCGCCAACCCCCGATCCCTTTCACCCCAACCTTTCCAATTTCATACAGTTTCAGATCGACACCCTGACGTCGATTCCAGATCGGATCTATTGACGCACCAACACCTGCTAGCCACTTAGAATGTCTCCTGGCGGTGCCGCTCCCCACTCTCTCGATCGTACCTGCAGATCAGGACGACATCTATGATGTAGATGCATGGGTCAGACAAAGCCCCCATGGTGTGGCATGGCATTTGCTATGCGATTAGGTCGGCGATTCAGAACAGCGATGATGTCGGTGCAGGGGTAGAATTGAGTCTGTGGGCTGTTGCGATGTCAGTATAGATGCAGTGTGCCGTCTTTTGTGTTAGAGACCATTCACATTCATACTCTCACCGCTACGCCTAGCACCAATCGCACTCTCTCTGAAGCAATGGCTCAGACTACCACCAAAGCTCATACCCTACACTTTTCCTATGACAATGACGATAGTTGTGCGCTCACAGCTCTCATCAATGATGTCCGTTTCCACGTCACTGTCGACCCCAAGGTACTTCAGAAGTCCTCTGAGAAGCCTCTCTACTACGAATACCTCGACAAGATCTCTGCGCTTCGCGAAGCCGACGAGCGCGAAGAGGAGCTCGCCGAAGAACGAGAAGCAAAAGTGAAGAGCAAGAAGAACAAGAACAAAGACCGACAAGGCTCAGAGGGAAAGGATAGTGGCATCGACATCACAGCCGACTCTGACGACGAATACGTAGAGGACGACGTCTCAGAAGCAGGAGAAGACGCCGACCAAGACTCCGCGAGCGCAGGCGTCGAACTG